ATCCTCCTGATATCTTCTGCCGGCAACGTGAACCATGCCTCTGAGCGGATGAACAATGTACAAAGACCAATGGATGTTACTTAGTACTATAAAATGGAAACTCAAGCCCATCGGGACTAAATTGGCCAAAACAGAAAAAAAATCCCTCACCAGAGAAGAAATGACGAGCAATTAAAGAGGTAATGTCGGAGTTGAATAAATATGATGTCATAATATTCAGTGATGGTTCAATAGACCCAGCTACCAAAGAAGAAGGAGCAGCAAGGATTGCTTAAAACTACAGCACATGCCGGATGCTGGTGAAGCAGTTATGAAGCAGAAAGGAGAGCAATAGAGATCTGTACAGAATGGCTCCAAAGGTTTGAAGAATGGGAGACTGCAGCAATAGTAACAGACAGCCCACCCATCATAAACTTGCTAGGGAGCATTAACAACAAGAACCCGGATAGCATTCAAACAATGGAGAAGATAAATAGTTTTGAAGCACGTAATGAAAGTGTAACGTTAGCTTGACGACAAGGACGTTGTGGAGTTGAGGCAAACGAAGAAGTAAAAAAGGCGGCTAAAGGGAGCAGGTTTCTTCAAAAATCCAACAAGTTAAATACACAATGTATAACACAGATGTTAATAAACCAGTTGGTTCCAGGAAAGGTTATAACTCGCGATAGATGTAAAAACGTGTATACAAAAGCCATTAATATCTGTGAGGAGAAACTTGGCAAGCAAGCAAGAACGAACCTCAGCCGTTTTAAAACTGGTCACCACATGAATCTTTGGGACTATAGAGCACGAATTGGCATAATAAATGAAAACCAATAAAGATTGTGTCCTGATGCTGAAGAATGGATTGAACATCTCTGGATGAAATGTCGGGCCATGGAGGAGATGAGGGGCAGGTATGGTCTCGGTGCACAACAGGGGGAAATGAGTGAGGGCCCGATGGAGGCTGCCAAGATGGTGGCAGAAATTTTGGAAAAATTGGGAAGAGAATGATTAGTCGATCAGCGAGCAACTACAACTACAACAACAACAAAACAGCAACAACAACCACAACAACAACTACGATAATGATAATGCCGATGTTGTTGATGATAATGATAGTGATGATGATGGTGCTGCTACTACTGCTGATGATGATAATGGTGACACGAAAAAACAATGGTTGTGATTGTACTATTAAAACACAGATTAACTAAAAGTTATATGGGTAGATGGATAGATGAATGAATGGATGGATGGATGGATGGATGGATGGATGGATGGATAGATGGATGGATGGATAGACGGATGGAAGAATAGAAAATTGGATGTATAAAGCGATGGATTAAATGAATAGATGGTTGGATGGATGGATATATATATATATATATATATATATATATATATATATATATATATATATCGAAAAAACTACGAACATATTAACGCCAAACATTCGGTAGAATTTATAGAATATTGTAAAAATTATGGTCTATTACCAACATATATAAATATATATATATATATATATATTTCAAAAATTCAACACTACTTTCAACATTGTTCAACTTTTTTATATTTTTTTTTAATTTATTAATTTCAGAGAAATTAGACATTTTATTGTTTTTTAAAAAATTTTTATTAAATAAATTTGCAAATAGCTATTTCGAGTTATAAATAACTCATCTTCAGTGCATTATATATAAGGTATGTAAGATATTTGATATAAAGGAACAAGTAATTATTAATTTATATAAATTATTTAATTAAAACAGAAAACCAATAAAATAAATTTAATAACCATAAACAATATAAAACGCGAGTTTTAAAATTTTAACGGCAAGATTGTTTATATTATGGTTGTTAAGGTAAATATCAACGCTCAGCCGAGAAGCGCGAATTAATTTATTGAATTAACTACATATTATTAATATTATTTTGACAATATTTAAAAACATTATTATTATTATTATTGTTAACGTTATTATTATTATTATCATCGCTGTGGTTCTTCTTGCTTCTTGTGATGATGTTCCATTTCCAACTGATATTTGCGCTGTGGGTTGTAGCATTGGTATCTACGTGTTGGCACTGTTGTTGTTGTTGTTATTGTTGATGTTGTTGTTGATGTTGTTGTTGGTGTTGTTGATGTTGTTGTTAAAGTTGTCACTATTGGTATGATTGTTGTTTACATCATCAATATTGTTGGTGATAACATTGTTATAATTATTGCTGTTGTCGTAATTGTTGTTGTTATAATTATAATGATTGTTGTTTTTATTTAGTAGTCTATTTGAAGGTAGAATGTTGTTAGGCTGTACTTGAATGTTCATGGAGGGATTTTTGTTTTGTATGAAAATTGATTCAAGATTTAAGTAAAATAGAAGGTAGACGGTATTCAGCTATTTTCAGGTTTGTGATGTTGTTGTTGCAATAAACTATTTGCGTGTTATTTAACATTTGTCGTGTTAAAGTGAATAAAAGTTGAACAATGTTGAAAGTAGTGTTGAATTTTTGAAATGTTGCGTTAACAACAGTCTGTCACCAATATATATATATATATATATATATATATATATATATATATATATATATTTATATTGGAGTTTTTTGTAGACAATAAATCTATGAATTTCCTACTTGATTTTAAGTTATAGCTTTTAGGGGGTGTAAGGTGTAATTATTTTGTTGAGAATTTTTGCAATAGGATAAGTGATCGCAGGTTTTGGCTAATTATTGAGAGAGAGAGAGAGAGAGAGAGAGAGAGAGAGAGAGAGAGAGAAAGAAAGAGAGAGAAAGAGAGAGAAAATTGATGGACAGATAGAAGAATTGATAGATGAATGGATAGATAATTGACCGTTGTTTAGCATCGTGGCATGAATGTCATTTGTACATTGGGATGACAGTGGCTGGCTGTTGAGTGAGTTGAACCTGTAATGTAAAATGCATTAACTGGGTGGTTAAATGGCTATAAACAATTAATTAGCTTACTAATTAATTATTCTATTTATTCATTGACTAATTTATTAATTTATTTATTATATAATTAATTATTTTGTTGTTAACGTTGTAATTAAATTAAAAAGCTGTTGTCGTCGTGATGTGATAGCTAGATGATGATGGTGATGAGGAAGGCGATGATGATGATAATGATGACAATGAGAATGATGATGACTACGACGATGATTATAATGATGATAGAGAGGATGGTATTGGTGGAGTAATGACGATGCTGATGACGATGATTATGCTATAGAATGATTTGTAGGAGATTTTTTCAATGTTTTTTTTTCAATTTAAACATGTTTGCCATTTTTTAACTATAATTATGATTGTTTTTATTCTTACCATCGTCGTCATCATCATCATCTTAACTACCATCACCATCACCATCATCATCGTCACAACCATCATTATCATCATCATTATCATCATTGATTAGTACTCAGGACATTGATGTTATGGTTCATCACATCTTCAACATCAGCCGCAACAGCATCAACAACAACATCAACAACAACAACAGCAGCAACAACAACAGCAACAACAACATCAACATCAACAACATCAACAAAAACAATATCAACAACAACAACATCAGCATCAACAACAACAAAGTCAACAACAACATTACCACCATCGTCAACTGATCAGAAAATTTTATGGTAATATTTGAACAAATGAATGACCAAACAAAGATAACACAAATACGCCTGCCAAACACACAAACACACAGACACACACACACACAAACACATATAAACACACACAAGCACACATTATCCCGCGACGCAAACAACAACAACAACAACGATAAAAACAACATGGACGATAAACACGACAACACAAAAAGACATTTTTGAAATAGCGCAAATGGGCGTGTCCAGTTGATGTGATGCCAGCCAATAGGAGTTGAGAATCAGTATTTGAGCGAGCCAATCATGTTTCAGATCGTTTCCACATATTAACGTTTTCAGCAGGAGTTGTCTTATCTCTTCTGTCCATCAATCCTCCTCTCATCTTCAATATTTATTTCTTCTTTACGCTCCTTTTCTTCCTTCTGTCGTTGTTGTTGTTATTTTTGCTGCTGTTGTTGTTGTCGTTATGGTTTTGGTTTTTGTGATAGTCCATGTTATCATGCTAGTAGTATTCGTTGTTGTTGTTGTTGTCGTTATGGTTTTGGTTTTTGTGATAGTCCATGTTATCATGCTAGTAGTATTCGTTGTTGTTGTTGTTGTTTTTGGGTCAGTAGTTGTATTTGTTCTGATGTTGTGGTTATGTATTGTGGTCTGTTGATAAAGTTGTTGACGATGAAGTTGATGGCACTGCTTCCAATGTTTTGATATTGTTGTTAAAACAACAGTGGATTGTTCGCATGATGTTTATGTATACATTATTTTACACGAACGTGGTTTGAAATTTAAATTTTCAAATTATTCCGGCAGATTGAATTGCATAAGTGGATCACTTTTCATTGAAACATCTAAAATCAAGCTGATCTTTTCATCGTTAAAACTGTTTTCTAACTCTAACAAGCGAGAAGCATTATAAACAAATGCCAACAACAGCGCCAGACATGCCTTCTATGAAAATGTACAAACATCACGACAAGTGTTTGTAAGAATTGTGCATTGTACACATTGATGTACATACACATTCGATACACACATGCATTTGATATACGTACGTGCACGCACATTTATGATTGGAGCGGATAGTGAATCGAAACAGACACTGAAACAATTGCAGATGCGTCAATTTGTTCGCTTTCACAGCATTCAGAACATGTTCACATTATTCAGAACATGTTCACAGCGTTCAGAGCATGTTCATAGCGTTCAGAACATGTTCACAGCATTCGGACTTTTGGCAACATGTTCGCAGACATGTAGATGGAGATACACGCAAAGAAACAATCGCACATCCGTGCACATACAATTATACATATTTTTAGAATGCATTGCACATACATACATTGCATCCAAACAAAGTTGAGATATTTTATTTTCTTCTAATCAAAATTAAGATGACAACAAATACAAACGTACATCAAAACACACATGCATCTGTGCGCATGCACTTTTTTGTTTACACACACAAATACACATACATTCATCCACACTTGAAACTGCACACACATATATCTCGATTGAACACAAACATGCTCACAGACTGTTAAATGTTGAAAACTTTTCTTCCTTCTCTTGAACTTACAACTTATAATTGAGATTCATTTGTGAATTATACTTAACTAACAGGATTTTTGTTGCAGTTGTTGTGGTTGTTGGTGGGATGTTGATAATGGTGGTGCATGTTTCAATGAAAGTTCAAATGTGTCAACATCATCTCTTTTAGTGACGCCACATCTTTTAATGAATGAATGAATGAATGAATGAATGAATGAATGAATGAATGAATGAATGAATGAATGAATGAATGAATGAATGAATGAATGAATGAATGAATGAATGAATGAATGAATGAATGAATGAATGAATGAATGAATGAATGAATGAATGAATGAATGAATGAATGAATGAATGAATGAATGAATGAATGAATGAATGAATGAATGAATGAATGAATGAATGAATGAATGAATGAATGAATGAATGAATGAATGAATGAATGAATGAATGAATGAATGAATGAATGAATGAATGAATGAATGAATGAATGAATGAATGAATGAATGAATGAATGAATGAATGAATGAATGAATGAATGAATGAATGAATGAATGAATGAATGAATGAATGAATGAATGAATGAATGAATGAATGAATGAATGAATGAATGAATGAATGAATGAATGAAGACCTCTTCCGCAACCATTTAAAGTTAAACTGAAGAGATGTAACAAGTGTGATAATTGCACCGTGTGTGTGTGTGTGTGTGCGTGTGTGTGTGTGTTTGTTTGTTCCATGCATGTTCATTTAGTGTACAGTCTTGTCCAACAATAAAATGCACACACACTTTAAATTTTAAGCTCTACACATACTACATACAACATGCAAGCGTAAACACAGGCATACTTGTGAAATACGGTGTTCAAAAAGTAAGCCTAACACCCACAAACAGACGCACGCACACACTCACACACGCAGACACACGCACACACACACACACACACACACACACACACATGCAGTAACAACAGTTAAACGGACCTTAACAAGATTTTCATTGTTATTCGTGACACCCTCAAGCGTTATAATGATGCCACACTCTTCTGCTTTATGTGTATCTGACCGAACATGTTGGTACTGTGTGTGTGTGTGCGCGCCTGTGTGTCTATATATGTTTGTATGTATGCGTGTGCTTGTGTGTATATGTGTGCGTGTGTGTGTCTGATCGGATGTATGTGTGCATGTTTCTATAAACGTACGTACGTATGCGTAGGAATGTGTTGCAATAATGCAGTTGTGCAAATGACAAAATAAACGAATGCCAAAATAACTGAATTCATAATTTCCACAAATATCCCATATATATATATATACACACACACATATATATATATATGTTTAAGACTGTCGTAGAAGATACAATTGTTAAGAAATATCACCGCATTTTCAGATTTGATCAGTTTCTGGTTCAGCTTTTCAACAATTCTTAAAGTATTTTTATCATCGTCTTATAACTTATTTATTTAGGAATCAAAATTTTTGACTTCTTCATGCATGCCACATGTGGAAGTTTAAGTGTGATGATGTGTGTGTGAGCGCGCACGGAATGTTGGTATGACGGCCAGCAACCAATCGCTAATGATTTCGAAAATATATGTCACAGAGAACGTTACTTATCATGCATCCATGTTCCATTGTGTATGAGTGAAGTATGTAAAGAAATATATACATGTAAGTAAATATATATATATATTATATTGCACATATATATATATACACTGTACGTATTTGTGATGATGTGTGCGTGTGTATGGAGGAGAGGGTGGAAGTATATAAGAGGAAGATGCTTGCAGAGATGATTTTTTGATGTTTGGTGAACGAATTTTTGAATGTTTGCTCGTTTGCACTTGAAAAATATTTTTAAATTTGATTTGTTGTTAATATTTCTTAAAAAATTTAAACAATTGATTTTAAATTAGAATTAATATTATTTAACAGGTAAGCCAGGAATAATGATTTGTTAATAAACTTCAAAGCAGTACACATATGTGTAAACGTTTTTTTTAACGAATTTTGAAGATGTTTTTGAAGTTGTTGATGTCTGATGTTTTATAACTACAATTCCATCCAAATATTTTTCCACTTTGTTGAGCAGTAGCAACTGTAGCAGCAGCAGCAGCCACTGATTAACATCTTCATCATCGGCGAGATCTCTTGCAGGTTCTACCATCATGCACCGATTGAAGTCAATGAAAGCATTCAAAAGAAGTGCTGTTGATGAGACTGATTGTGATGACAGCAACAACGGTAACAACAACAACATAAACAACAACAATTTAGCTAACAACATTAACAAATTTTATGGCAACCACATCAACAACATTAACATCAAAAGTGGTGACGTTTATTGCTCACAAAGTAAGAAACGATGCACTAACGACATTCGACTTTTAAAGCAAATAAAACATAGGAACAACAGAAACAACAAGAAGATTAAAACATTCTTAAATTCTGATCAAAATGACAATAAATGTGGTGTTACTATCCCAACTAACAACAACAACAACGACAATAGCAGCAGCAACAACAACAACGACGACATCAGTTGTACAGAATTCACAAAAAACGACCAACTACCTAACATGAAGGAGAACAAAGCGGCACAGAAGCTGCACAGGAGCAACGAAGCCAGGAACGGCAGCGATGACCAGAGTAACAATTCGAACGAAGACGACACGATGCAGAAAGAGAACGATGACACATGCAACCAATGTGAAGGTCTCACAACGGAGAGATGCACCACCGGGGACCAGCTCTTAAACAGCACGATGACGACCTGCTGCTTCAACTCCGCTCTCTCCTCAAAGTCTTTCGTCAATTTTGTCAGCAAGAAATTATCTAAAAACAAATTTGTGAAATCCTTCTTCACGCCAACAGCGTCGTCATCTTCATCTTCTCTCTTGACGTCATCGTTCTCGATAGCTGCATCATTTCCGGCGCTGAAAGACAGACACAACCTCAGCAGCAGACCAATGTCTTTCAGCATTGACAACCTGCTAATGAAAAATAAAGCTAGTCTTGAAGCTAAAAGAGGTGGCGATGATGAGGAGGATGATGATGGTGGTGATGATATAAACGAAAATTTTAACATTGATGATGACGACAATGACGATGATTACATTAACAATAATGATTTCAAGCATTTTGGCGCAAGAAATTTTACGAACGGAATTCGTTATCCGAAAAAAAAACATTTGGACCGGAAAGCAAGTGATGACATAATTGATAATGATGTTGTTGAGGATGTTGTTGATGAGGATTGCAACATGGATAGCCGCAATGGTTACGAAGAAGGAGAAGATGAGGAGGATGGCGTTGTTGAAAATGTCTGCAATGTTATTAAGCCAGCAAGCAGCAACAAGATGATAAGAAAACTTCATAATTGGAGTCATCATGAAGACCAACCACACACTCATCTTCCATGTAGAAATCCATCCAATCCCACGTCAAGGATGATGTCACGTGATAATGAAAATTACACCAACAATATCAATGCGCCACCACCATCATCATCATCCACTTCTTCGTCATCATCATCGTCATCATCTTCTACATCATCATCCACTTCTTTGTCATCTAAATCTTCTTTTGTGCCAGAATTTTTATTTTCCTCACCTTCATCATGCAAAAGTACGTCAGTGCTTTTTAAGAACCTAAAAGCAACAGCAGCATCAGCAGCAGCAACAACAACATCATCCACAATTTCTCTTTTATCAACAACTATTCCATCTTATTTAGGCGCGATAAACAAGAAAAAGAACAACAATACATCCGTCCACAACAACCCAAACAGTTGCTGCACGGAGAGAAATAAACAGAGAGTTCAAAGTAAGTTGGATGCCTCACCCACTCCAACCACAACAACATCAGCGCTCTTTGCGACATCAGCCTCAACTTTTTCAACTAACAATGACAATGCATTTGACTACAAAACAACAAATTACAGGAACAGCAGCAGCAGCAACAACAACAACAACAACAATAATAATAACAACAATGATAATAATAATACTATTAGTAATATTAATAATAATACTAACGACGATCACAACAACAGCAGCAACAACAACAACAACATTATAAGCAACAACTCGGTTTTTGAAAATATTTTTGCTTACTCTTCACCGGTCGCCAACTTGGTTTCAAACCACGACAAACACATTTTGTCACACAACACCAATATCAACAACAACTCTCCCAGTTCAAACCACAGTAAAGATTTTACTACCAGCAATAACGCTAATACGATCAACAAAAACATCATCAACAACAACAACATCAACAACATTAACAATAACAACAACATCAACAACAACAACAACATCAGCAACAACGATCCACTAGCTGATGTTCAATGCAGATTAGAGACCAAGGATTTGTGGGACAAATTTTTTGAACTTGGCACTGAAATGATAATCACAAAATCTGGAAGGTTAATTTGGTTTACCGTTGAAACTATTACGTTGAGAATTATAAAAAAAAAATGTAACTTCATATTTGATTTGTTACAAAGGCTTGAGGAAAAAAACTTCAAAGCGTCAACATTTTAATACAAAACACAAAACAACACTCACGACACACCACATAGAACAACACAACACAACACATAACGCAACACTGCACAGTACAACACACAGCACACAACACAACACAACTCGTGCAACATGCAGAAGAATGTTTCCAACATTGAGGGTTTCATTTTCCAATTTGGTTGCTGACTTGGAGAGATGCAAGTTCAATGTTCTCATGGATATCGTGCCGGTCGATAATAAAAGATACAGGTTGTTACCATTAACCGTTAACACACAATGCTGTTCCTCTCAATCATTTCGTCGCTGCTCTTTAATACTTACATTGTTTGGTTGTTCAAGTTTTCAACGTTTATCTTTATTTTATCATTTCTATTTCCTATTTTCATACACCCCTCATACACTCTACACACACACCTCAAACACTGAATACACACCAGGTATGCCTACCATCGTTCCTCGTGGTTGGTTGCGGGCAAGGCAGACCCTCCCCTCCCCACCCGCCTCTATATGCACCCCGACTCACCCTTCACTTACGAACAGTTGACCAAGCAAACTGTCTCCTTCGAGAAGATCAAACTGACCAACAACATGTTGGACAAAACTGGACACGTCTGTTTTTTATCGTTTCTCTTCACATTTGTTTCTCGTGTTTCTCAACAAACGACATCTTTGTTAAGCATTATCATCTTCGCGCTCATAGCTAACTTTCTGCAAACTATCAATTTCTTATAGTATAATTTCTCTGCTAAATTGCTTTGTTGGCATATTGTGCAGCTGTAACGACCGACGCTCGTGTGACCTGGTCTGGTAACTCCATTAAAATAATTTGTTTGAATTTTAAAAAACAATGCAGTTTATGATTAAATTTTGAAATAAATTAAATGAAATTGTTAAGTTGCATTTCGGAATTGCGGTTGCGTATCATATTTACGCTTAAATGGATTATATGGACACACGTTTTAAAAGTTTCATCCTGGTTTGCAATTTATATACATTACTTTCTCTTGTAACTATCATCACCACATTATTGCACTTTCAGCATTGACAACATCATCCTTTTGTCGTCGACATCATCATCGTCATCACCCACCATCATGATCATCATCATCACCATTATCATCATCATCATTTCACAACACCTCATGCACTTCAGCAGATCATACTGAACAGCATGCACAAGTACCAGCCACGCATACGATTGGTTTTGAGGGAGAACCTGATGAACGATGCATCCACTGAAGTCCCTTCCACATCATTATCATCATCATCAACAACAACTGCATTGTTGTCTACAACAACAACATCATCATCAAACGAGTGCTCAAAAATTTTTGTGTTTCCGGAAACGATATTCATTGCTGTCACCGCCTATCAAAATCAATTGGTAGGCTTCCATTTTCTTTGCATGTTTGTTTGCAAGTTTCTCTGCAAGTTCCTCTGCATGTTCCTCTGCATGCTCCTCTGCATGCTCCTCTGCATGCATGGTTCTTCTTCCTCATTATCATTCTCTAAAATATTTTTTGAAATATCAAATTATGTTGGTTTTAATTTTGACTTAAAATCACAAAGTTTTGTAACAATATAGAACAAGCAACTTCTAAAAATGCGTGAAATTCGAACCAAGCCCAATTTTTGATATTATGATGCAAAATGCAAAAATGTTTGAGCATTTGTGCATTGATATGAGCAATTATGTTTTAAAATGGTTGCATGAAGTTGCCCGCCTGCATTTCAACAGTGATTGGATGCATGTGATTACGAAAGCCTTTCAATACACTTTTTGGAAAAAAGTAGAATTTAAAATTTTATAAAAGAGCAAATTTTTCGAGCATGTTATAAAAGAACAAAATGTGAAATTATTGCGGGACCTGCAAGAACTGCCATGTGCATGTTTTCTAGCAAGTCGATAGATCATGTGCTTACTGTCTTTTAAACATACGTAATTTTTTAACACAAGTTATACCACACATATCTTGGCGAATATTTTAAAAACGCTTTGTGTATTGTTGTACACTCATATCCCAAGTTTGTATGCAAGAAGTTTGAAGTATATATCATGCTACAACAACAGACAAGCAAACAGACAAAAAAACAGACAAACAAACAGATAGACAAAGCAGACAGGCTAAACAAATAAATATTTCAACCAACCAAAAACAGATAACCAAGCTGAAAATCGACAGCAATCCATTCGCCAAAGGATTTCGTGATTCATCGAGACTCAGTGATCTGGATAGGTTGTTGTTGCTGTGTATCGCTGTGTACTCATATTTAATATTTACTGTTGTTGTTTTGTTGTTGCATGTTTTTGTTTTGTTGTTTGAAACAGACTGCTTTGCTGTTTGTTTTGTTATTTTTATTGACGAGTTAGTAAGAAATTATGTTGTTGATTTTTTTTAAGATGTGTGTGTGAACTATGTTGTAAGATGTGTTGGTTGTTGCAAGATGTATTGGTTGTTGCAAGATGTGTTGGTTGTTGCAAGATGTGTTGGTTGTTGCAAGATGTGTTGATTGTTTCATGATGTAATGGTTGTTGCAGATTATGTTAACTTTCAAAACAAACGTATTTTTTTATTAGTTTAAAAGGCTCTCTTGGGAGTGAAAACATGTTGTGTTGGTGGAAAAATTTGTCGACCACATTTTATTTTATTGAGTGCATGTTGCGACGCTGACAACTCAAACGAAACGTTATTTATACAGGGTTTTGTGTTTAGCATGATGTTTTTAATATTGCTGTTACATTGCTGTTTGCATATATTTGTTCCTTGGCACACTGCGGTTGTTGTGTATGCCGTGGTTGCATTGTTACTGTTGTAAATTTTGTATTTATTTGATGACTTGTTGTAAGTTGTAACATGTTGTAACAGATAAAGAAACAAGTGATTTTATTGAACTGAATATTAATTATTTGCTCACACATATATCTAGATATATATATATATCTTACAATATTTTTACAATATTCTATAAATTCTACCGAGTCCGTTAGAATTTATAGAATATTGTAAAATATATATATATATATATATATATATATATGTATATAGAAAGAGAGAGAGAGAGAGAGAAAGAGAGAGAGAGAGAAAAGTTGGCTTTGCTTTTTACCAGCTGCACCAAAACGTTCTTGACCGTGTTTTAATAGCTCCTTCATCCTAGGAAGTCCCTTTTAATGTTTTTTAAAAAGAACTTCATAACATTTTAAATTATTTTTTTTACCAGCCTAACAAACGGCAAATCTGGACAACTTTGACGGAGGCCAAAAATAAATTTGAACAAAGTTGAAATTTGATGGTGGAGCCAAAAACTACAAACATTGTTGCTATTGCTGCGAAAATTTAGCTGACTAACACTTTTTTTGGTCATCACGTCAATTTTTAGTCAATTTTAAAATTTTTGTTTCGATTTTCCCTGTTGCCTCTCTCTTTTCTAGATCCGCCAAATAATCTTTGCTGAAGCGGTCGAAATCATAATTAGATTTTTTGTTTTTGAGGACTTTGTTTGCGATGATTGGATTGTCTGGTTCGGTTAAAATATTTCCCATGTTAAAGCACCGTTTGGCGTTGAATCGACAACATGTGCTTGCATGTTTCAGATGTCAATTTGAACTTTTTACAAAACAGTCTGCTAAAAAAAAATTTCAAATATTCATTAGATTAATTATGAAACAGTTTCTAAATCATATCCAATTCTTATTCCTAGAAGCAACATTACATTTCAAAACGTAGGATTTAAAAGTTGATCAAATTTTGAATTTATTGGAAGTATTATTGATTGATTGATTGATTGATGTATATGTGGTAGAATTTCATCAAAAATTCAATCAATAAGATATGCAATCAAACTGAAATCGTTCTCAATATTGTTGTCGTGCTCCGGCGTTACTACACAGTTGTGATGTTGTTGCGATGCGATGCTTTTGCGATGTGATGCTGTTGCAACTACGATGTTGTGTCATTTGTATTGTTGTTAGTAGGTGTCGGTGTGTTTGCATGCCGTTGTTGTGTTGTTGTGTCGCAAATAAATTTATTGTGACACTTGTCCGAAAACAAATACGCACTCACTGACCACTTAACCTCTCTCTTACATTTTACGCTTATCTCTCGATTTCAGTTTCTTATACTATTTTTAGTTTCGTTGTTTGTTGTTGGCACTTCTTCGTGTTTATCATTAATTTTAATTAACAACAATGTAGTTGTGCCATTGAGATAAATTGTTAGTTCTAAACATCAATACCAACCAGCAGAGTTCTGTTTATTCAAAACAATTTATTTTCACAGGTATACATAAATCAGTACAAAACACGCCCACACACTCACACACCAGCAAACACAAACATATAGACAGACAGATAGATAGAACAGCAAACAAAACAGCCCAATACAACATACACCCATTTGAACGATGTACACATATATGTATGTACTATACACACATATTAGCACAACAACACGACACGCACACACACACACACACACATTTATATTAGCGGAGAACTGCAGATAGATGTTGAAGCAAATAAAGAGGAATGCATGCGATGACCTGTGAACCTATTTTTGTAGCGCTTCGTTGAGTTGCTAAGGTCATCAACTCCCTGCTTCCCTGTCCACCACATATACAGCATCTTTACAAGCATCTTCATCACACTCATCCAACAATTAATTTGTAAAATTGGTAAAATGAAATTCAAAACAAGCACAATTATAGAAGTGTTTAAAAATAATATTGTCAACTTATGCATTTGAAGAGAGTGCCAACAAGTAAATCCGTTAACTAAAATGAGATTCCGCTAAATAAAATTTTACATGTCACAACGTCAACATAAACAACACCAATATCATCATCATCAACAACAACATCATCACCAGCAACAACATCATCATCATCAACAACAACAACATTGACAGGGATGTGATGGGAGGCAGCATGCAGGGAGCGGGAATGTTTTTTGGGATGCCCTGTAGAGATTCGTACGACAACTACTTCCTCCAACAACATCATCTGCAACAACAACATCATCTGCAACAACAACATCATCTACAACAGCAACATCATCATATGCAGCAACAACAGTTCCAAAAACATTTATTCAACAACTTCAAAGACAAACTGGAAGGCGGTTCCACGTTCAGTCAATCAAGCGTGAACTCCGCCTACCAGCCAATCAATCACATTGATTCTGATCACGTGTTATCGAACGTTCGTCAGCAGATGATGAATAATATGAAAATAGCAGGTGCTGATGATGACTATTCGTGGCCCCTCCATTCATTGCACAATTTTTTGTCTACGGCCATAGCAATGAACAAATGCAGATGTTCAAATGTTCAACAAAAAATCGCAGATTGTAAATTTTCATGCATGTATAACTCAACTCTCACACACACACATATAATTTGTGTGTGTGTGGGTATGTATGTGTGTGTGTGTGTGTGTGCGGGATTAAAAACTTTTCACATTTTGCGCAAAAATTTATGTTGAAAAGCTGCAAGTATTAAAAAGAAAGTGAGTTTTAAAAGCAAGATGCAATGCA